ATAGTGTTGATGATGAATGGAAGGCATTTCAAGTTGAGCAGTTATCAGAAGACTGGAACCTACTTCCAGTTCAGGTGGCAGATAAAGGAGACAGTGAAGATCAAATTAGTTCAGAAACTCTAAATGATTACCTATCCACATTCTGCCAATCAGTGTACATAGATGATTCCAAGATTTGCAGCATAAAGGCAATTAATAGTCCAAAAAAGTATCCTACCCTTAAAATGATTGTAAAAATCTGTCAGACTCTATCTCTTGGCAATGCTGATGCAGAGAGATCATTCAATGAAAATAAAACTGATGACTTCTGCAAGAACTCAAATGTTAAATGAAACATTAAATGGGTATAAAGCAATAACTTCTTTCATGAGAAAATACGAGAACAAACTGGAATTTTTACCAATAACTCCTGCACTGTGTAAAGTTGTTAGAAATGCTCAAACAAAACATGACCAATATGTAGAGGCACAGAAAAAAGCTGACAAAACTTTGTGATGAAATGGAAAAATGTAGAGACAATTCAAGCAACTAATGAGGATCTCGAGATGGCTAATGCAAAGCTGTCTGAAGCTGATGCACTGAAGAAGGAAGAAATAACCATGCTTTAGGTCACTTGTAAAAATGCAAACATGAGTAAGGCTAATGATGCACATACCATTTTAGAGCATAGCAAACAGCTTTAAGGAGATGCAGAGCAAGAAAATGAATGTTGAAGCTGAAATATCTAAAACTCTAAAGAAAACATAAAAAACACCATTGGTCAAATAATTAATGTAAACATGGATCTACTACAAATTGAAATTACTTTATTACGGAACAAAAAGTATATATTTTGACAATACTGTACACGTTTGCAGTGAAATATTGAAATTAATGTACTCCTTTCAATGAACCCTATTTATTTCATTGACTGTATAAAATTTGCATATTAATATATAATTTACACCTTAATGAATATAATGTTTAATTTTTATCTCATACAGATTTGTTCAGGATTCATTAACAAGTAACATTTAATGATCCAATAATACATTGTATTATATCATAACAACAATGTGATTTATTACTAATGCTTGTCTTAAATATTACCATAAGTGTTCACCAAGCACCGAGTCTGAAATTTTCTTTTCGTCTGAAGGAAGGAGAATTTATTACAGTACAGGGTACTGTATAATAAATTCCCATTATTCTTACCCTAACTCTCAGTGATATTTCATTATTATTACTAGTATCTATACTGTATTATCATTTGATTCATAAGTTGAGGCTATTTAAATTTAAGTTCAAAATTTATATTTTGGGATACAGTACAGTATTTCCATTGTGCCAATACAGAGAAATTATTTGTATAATATAATAAAGGTAAATTTACACTTTATTTAATGTGTAGATTTGTATACAGTAGGGTCGGGATATATCGCGAGATAGGGCCCAAGGATGTTGCCATAAACTAAATCGCAATAAATAATTACATGTAATCAATGGGGAAAAAGAGTCAGGTTCCGGAGGCCAATAAAAGTAAAGAAACTTGACTTAACGAGTTTATTTTATTACTAACTAAAGCACCAATGAACACTAGACTCGGGAAGACCAGACTCGGGTGAGCCATCCTCAGGAACACCAGACTCGGCAGCTGACACGCCATCCTGGTAACACCACCCTCACTATACAAGCCCACACCTACATAAACGAACAAACCAAAAATATTAGTTACAGTAAATCTTTTCCATTAAGCTTTCTATTCTTTTCGCTTAACTTTTCACATCACTAGCAACCCATTTACACTCACCTTAGATGACGGAATCTGCAGCAGAGTCGGCTGCTGACTTGTCACTTGAACTAGGAGGAGTGGTACTAGTACACTTAGGTATCTTGGCAGACAGTAGTAGAGCACGTGGTGACCTTGACTGGAGAGCGAGAGCACAGCGTCCACACGTGGCAAGAGCTGAATCAGGAAGAATGTGCGGGCGAGTGTGAATGCGTGAGTGAGCAGCCATGGTGGCACCTCTGGTGAGCAAATAATGCATTTGTTTGCCATGGTGGTAAATTCAAATATTTCCTGCCCGATTTCCCTCGCAAAATAAATAGGTTTATCGCCATATATCAGAATTTTTTTCTTTTTATCAGTCATCCCTTTTAAAACATCTTTGGTTTCAGATTGTTCATGGCAAAAATATATTCCAATCTGTTTTAAAAAGCTGTCCCTCAGTGACAGTGTTACTTGTGAACTCGGATTTCATTTTGACAAAGTTGGATCCAATGTTAACCTCATATACTAACTCATTCAGTGAAATAAATCAAACTCATTGAGAACCAAACAAAACTCTTGCTTCATGAAATTCTGAAGCAGTCTTTTAAAAAATATGACCCTGAGAAAATTTTATGACTACGTGACTAACTGCCAGGCATAGGGCTGAAGCCGGCTTCGGCTTCTGAAAATATGCTTTTTGGAACTGGCTTCGTCTTTGAAGCCAGAGGCATAGCACCGACTTCGAAGCCAAAGGCCTGGCTTTGGATTTTCATCTTCACATTTAGATCATATTAAATAGTTATATCCAAAGCATCACAATTTTGACTTGATTTGACAAGTGACATGGGTTGTTGTGTCGGCGCAAAAATTACTGACCAGCATATGAATAACCAGTGCTGACACGATGACATATTGTCACAGGTCAATCAGCCAGAATCTCCACCCGGGGAGGGTAAACTTGAGGTGAGGTTAGGTCAAATGTGAGTTGGCCAAGTGACCTTGACTTGACCTTACATGAACTGAGATACACACCACCTGTGACACCTGTGATACCACTCTCCTGTGACTAAAATGTGTCTGTGAAAAACGTTCTTGTAATCAGTTATGGTTTTTGCTCAGTACATATCACACACAACTGGTTGGTTCTATCTCTTCAGTTCCATTCTTTTACTTACTGCCTTTTTCCTGTCAACTTTGGTCTTACATTGTGATAATAGTGTCACTGTGATTCCTAGTATGCTGCTGTAAATGGAAAGGATTGAAAATACTACATGGTAGATAACCCATACGAAACAGAGACTTCCCTGAGATGAACAAAATTGTCTGACCCTGCTTACCACAAGGACTCATCCAGAAAAGCTATGAACTATCTAATGCTTCTAACCAGTGCTAATGTAATCAAGTACATCCACCTCCTCCTGGACATCTTACATTGCCTTGGGTGCCTTTCAGCGCAGTTTCAACACAGACAAAGCAATGTTTCTGTTATCATGACAGAAATTCAAGCCTCAATTGACTTACTCAATAAATATTTGACAAGCCCAGGACCCAGTCTGAGGAAGATTTTGGAAGGTGACACTACAATATTCCAAGGAGAGAAGCTGAGTAATAGAAATAATGCCTTCATGGCTGCAAGGTATGATATACTGACATATCTGATTACAAGTCTAAAGAAAAGATATAATGACATGGCCAGTACAGTTCTTCAAAATTCATGGATTCTGGATTTCAAGCTATGGCCTGCAGAATACACAGGGAATGGAGGTTTCAGAGACACAGCTGTGGGAGCGCTGGCTCTGTCTCTTGAGAAAACACTAAGGGAGGCAGAAGTGGATCCAACCAAGCTGGAGGATGAATGGGATGTACTCAAATGCTATCTCTACAAAATGAGTAAGATATCACCTGTTTCAAAACTGTCCTGGCAGCAAATAAATGAATCATACAGAGAAAAGTGTGGCTCCTTTCTCCATTTAGTTGACCTTCTGCTGTCCATTCCAACCAGTCCTGCTGATGTTGAACGTAGCTTCAATCAGGTCAAGCTCATTAAGTTTCTTGACAGACTAGCGCAGTCATCTCACCGATGACCACTTGACAGATCTCATAGTGGTCCAGTTGCAGTCAGAATGTATTTGCAACTTCAATCCAGAGCAAGCCATCAACAAATTTTTAACAACTGGGACCCACCATGTTTATGGGTATAACCACACAGATGGATGCAGCACAGAGGATGTGCTGGACAATATCGAAGAATGGACGAGAAGCATATACAGAAATTATTGACCAAATCCAGTGAAGAAGAAAGCCCTCAGTTACTTGCAGTTACATATACATCAGTACAGTAGCCTTTTAAGAGGCTCTAAAATTGTTTATAAATTTCAGCTGATGATATATAAAGTAAACAAGGAAACAGATTATCCATAATTTAATATGTTATGCATGCCATTGTTTAAAATTTTAATATAATTTACCTTTTGCTATTAAGTTAAATAAAGTGTCAAAGTAAAAAACTTTCTATGAAGGCCTACCCAGTATATGTCAACTGTTGGAATTTTAATATTTTTTTTTTTAATGTCTTGGAAAATTTTGGAAGGGCTAATAAATTCTGGGAAGGGATAGTAACTATTTGGTTCTACTAGCCCGGTTGGCTACCTGAAAAAAGGGCGATTTTTTACCCCTGTAATAGTGAGAAGGGATGCTGTTTACAGCAACCTAGCCAATATTTCAATGGGTTATAAGAGTTCTAACCCCATAAACATGATTCAACCAGAAAATTTATGGCCATAAAATCAGCATCTACAGTAAGGGCAATTTTTTCATACTCTTTTCACAGAAATTAGTTTTTTTACATAATTTATTTTCTTTTTTAATTAATTTGGAGGCTTTGACAAAATCTCCTCTAAATGCCAATCACTGTACTGAGGTGGTCTGCAAGTCAATTCAGTCTCAAGACAACACAACCAATTCACCATGGTGCATCGTCAAAATATATGACATGAAAAGGTAATTGTATATTCTGGTTCCCAGGGTCAAGACAACACAGAAAATTCAAATATAACACATTCAATGGAAAACAAATGTTCTTAAGTTTGCTGCTTCCTTCACTTACAGGCTATACTTGCAGGATCTCATTTTAATATTCCAGTTACAAAACAGCCTCATATCCTATAGTGCAGAAGAATCAAGAATGGGTTGAATACATGTGCTGTAGAAATATGCATGGTGCTTTCTTTGGTAGTTACAGATATTAAGCTCTTGCTACTTCTCCTTTATTAAGAACAAATACAGTATGAGAAAAGATGGATGGTTGCCTTCTATAACAGGATCACTAAGAGGTAAGAACAAATTCTAACATTCACTTAAAATAATACAAACGCAATTTCTGAGTGTCATGTGCAATATACATGAATGGTAAAATCAGTTAATACTACCTGCATATTGGAACAATATACATACCCCCACTATTATATTACATTATTTTTACAAACATTCACCGAGGTACAAATAATACCTCATGGATATTTTAGGTCTGTGAGCAACAAGTCTAATAAGTTTCAGGAAAATTCTCATAAAAATAAAAGCAGCAGGTATTACATAAACTAGACCTCATTGTGTAAAAGACAAACTGATGGACAAAACAGTGCCATCCAGTACCCTGTATAGCCCTCTAACATTTGTTGTTGGAGGCATAAGTTATTTCTGTGCTATAAAAAAACATTACACTATACCCTCGTTCATTCGACACAAAAGAGGCTCTGGGTCATTTAAATTACTGAAAAATCTGAATTAATCTAAATATTTTAACATTCGACAATTTTCTGTGTTTCATTTTCCATTCAATTTTGCACCTTACTCGGATCATTCCGATGACTGCAGGGGGGGGGGGGGAAGGCAAATATTCACATGACTAGTGAGGTCCACTGCCACCTGAAGAATACCCCTGGGTCGCGTTAGGGCGAATCTTCAGGTGAGTACTGAGATCCATGCACTTGCCTTTACTTTATTTTATCCTCTATGCCCAAAATTCTGTGAATATTTGCAGGTCAAGATCAATTACACATTAATTTGTTACTTTAATTGTTATGTGGGTCAAGTAAATACCGCAAGCGTAATTTTCACTGAAGTGTGCAAATACAGTACCGCACAAGGACTAAATACAGCAAGGACACACCGCTGTAACGTCATAGACTTTAGCTCCGCCCAATTCAATGATGTCATGCTACCCATGACATTTGATTGTTTCGTATTTTTAGAATAATCATAGGGCTAAGGCTTTTCTGTGACCAGGTATAACAAAAGGAATGCCTTATGTTCTCACAGTCCTCCCAAAAATAAGTGATACGAAAGAAAAAAAAAAGAGAGGGGAGGGCAAAATATTACAAGGAAACACCGAGGGGGGTACTGGGCATTTCGCTGATGACACAGACGAAGCAACTCAATTTTTGAGCTTATTAGCAATGTAAAGATTTCCCTTTTGCTAGACATGGCAAGGTGAATGTCTGAGGGTACTCCGGACAACTGGATATTGTGTACTTAAGAAAAGAGCATTTTCCCAATCAATTCCAATTAAATTCATAATCGACCCCATCCCTGTTAGCGTCCAACATGCATGCACCACGGGTAGTAAACAAAATCTTTCAGAATTATAGTTCTATCACCACGATTAACAACATTATCCCACAAATCAATTAGAAAACATCTGCTATAAGGCACTAAGCATCTCAACTGATGAAGTGATAGCGCTGCATAACCTCTGACTGCGCTGGTGGCCCGCTCTCACATGATAGCAGCATGACCCAGGATTACATGCCACTAAGATTTTTTCCCACTCAGACGATTCCCACGTGAACAATTCGACCCTATTGCTGTTTACACTCCCAGACCCTGAGATGCTCTCCATGAAATAGAAGCTTGGGGGGAATAAAATGCTATAATAAAACGGTTTTTGGCTGCTGTGGCGCTTGGCTGACTGTGATTAGTGGTCTCATATTACTGACCTGATGCAATGTCAGGTCACCAATTGTTGGTGTGGGGGATCAGAGCAAAAGCACTTCATAATCAGGGCAAAAGCCCTTCACAGTCACTAAAAAAGGGAAAGCATTTCACAGTCACTAAAAAAGAGAACAATGTGAACTTTAGTTATGTTCTCTCACTGTTAAAAAAACTGCTTATCACTGATAAACCTTGAGCTCCATTTCTTACACACATGTAACCAAGAAGAATCAGTGCCTGGAATGTAATTCACCAAATGGTCACGAGGTGGCGTTCAGGTAGATGACGCCTCAGCTGACAAATGAAGTGAGTTATGCATTTCATATGCCAACTTGGCGGGATGATGAATATTGCTAGTGTGAGTTTATTTACATCGCACATAGGGGAGTGGTCTTAATATATCAGCATCATTAACGTGAATTATCATAGACAGGGAGATCGTAAAAAGAGGTTTACCTATATTCCTATAATCCATCTTAATATATACCTGACCCTCGCTTTACGCTATGGTTGTGCTCTGTGACAACACAGTATAATGGCAATCCGCATATAGTGAATACTTAATCTTATGGGAAAATTAAGATATGTTCCACAACAACTAAAAGTCAACAGAAATGCAATAAAAGTTGTGGAAAAATCATTACAATGCTCTAATGTGGATTAGAAATAAATATAATATAAAACTATAAACTGAGACATATGAAGAGCATGGGTGTTTGTGTGGAAAGTAAAAGTGTGTGGAGTGGCTGACTCACCACTCCAACCGCGTCTTGTGACATCACATGCAGCGCAGTAAACACACACACACACTGTGCCATGTTTCACAACCATTTTTGGAGCATTAATGCAATAACATTTGTAGAAATAGGGTTGCCGCATAAGCACGAATCTGCATATAGTGAATGTAAATAAAGCGAGGGTCCAATGTAATTCTTATTTTAATTTTATAATTCATTCAACTTAATCTATTTAATAATACATTCCTATAATAAACACAGTACTGTATATCTAATAGAATTTGTGATGAATGGATGATTTTTAGCTATAATTGTCAATGTGGGAATTGTTCAAGTGGGATGACACCTGACCCAAGCCTGCTTGGATAGCTGCAAGAGCACAGATGAATCAACAAAACTGAAATTTCAAGCCCACCCGTGGAGCCATGTGGTCAGAAAAGAAACAAAGTGAAAGGCCTGATTTTTTCAAAGCTGTAGCCACTGGATTTTTCGGAACCAAAATCTGAATTATAACGATCTGAATTAACGAGGGTACAGTGTATATCATTTTATGTAAGATTCAAATGCTTAATAAATCAATAAATGTTATAATGGAGCATAATAAAAATATTTATTCCAGATCTTGTTAGCCATAATTAATATTCTTTTAATGAACTTGTAAAAAATTTTTTTTATATATTTAAAGGAATCAGTACTAATTATGGTGAAAAAATAGAAGACCTACTAAAGGTATAATAATTTTATCTAAAAAAATATGCCAATTGAATTTTCTGCTCTTTGAAACTGGAGAACACAGGATTCCTCCATCTTAAGACCTCATAATTTACATGATAGTTACAAGTATTCATATAGGACAATTATTTTTTAGTACTGTACAATGAATAAAAAATATTCTTGATGCTTCTATAAAATGTACAAATGCAACCTTATATGTATACACTTGTGTACATATAAACACAAGTACACAAACTTTCTTTAGAGTGGAGCAGCCCATGAAAAATGGTATTTGAACTATTTTATCATAAAATTATCAAAGCTCACATATGAAACCTTGATAAATAAATAAGACAAGATGACCAGAATGGGGTCTAAGGAGCTTAATGGAGAGATTAATGTAAAGTATGAAAGTAATGTTCAACTGGTTTTCTTCCATTTGTTTTAATACTTAATGATATTCTGGAAAAAAACAAAACACAGACCCATAAAACTGGGACGGTGTGCAAGGGATTAGGACCAAGGCAATATTTATGTGAAAGAACCTGATGTGTGAGGATGAAGACAGGGATGAATCAGCGATGTGCAGCAAGGTGGCCGAGGAGATCACACCGATTTAACCTGCCTTTGATAGGTTCATCGGATTCAAGGACTTGGACTCCACTCTCCCACCACCACACAGCTCCTCCACTATAAGATGACCTGAAGGACAAGAAGTATGAGTAAATAGATACTATTATTAACAGTGCAGCAACATAAATGGCATGAATGATGAAAATGGTCACTATAATCAAGGGAAGGTATCAAGGCCTGGATAGAATAAGTATACCATGAATGAAAGGGAATTAGAGGAAGAGTTGTCAGAGTAGATTTGAAAGAAGATACAGTATAGTACTGTACTAGAGATACAATAGAGGGTGTTGCAATACAGTGTGGTCTCATTTTGCGCAGGTATATCGTACTGGTACACTCACACGCAACAGTTTCGATGCACCCTCTACCCCTACTCCTGCCTCGATGGAAGTTGTAGCCTTGGTTTCAAACCAAAAGTCAAATAAACAGTATATAAAAATCAGAGAGCACTAAGGATATTTACTTGAAAGGGGCTATAACATCCTGCTGGCACTCAAATGTTGCTTGCCTAGTCAGTGTGTTGTACCAATACTTTCGGTTTTTATTTTTGCTGAATGCCATCATCCAGGGTTCTAGAAAGAAAAAGGTTAACCATCACTCTGATGAGAAACTAAATGGGTACTTCTTAAAAAAAAAAAAAAAAAAAATGAGATCATGCTCATATAGGACAAAGATTTTGTAAATCAAGCAAGGATATACTGTACATTGATCTCTTTACTTCAATATAAACATTCGAAATGCAAGTGTTTGTTGACATAGATGTCCCCATTGCACAGCTAATCTGTCAAGGGGCATACCATAATTACATTCAAAATCATCAAACTTAACCTATTTCTACTTTTCTAGATTTAATAACACAGGCAAGAATCTTCTAATCCACTATATCGGTTATAAAAGAAATCACACCATATACTATACCTTTAGTTGCTTTGAGAAGCAAAAGAGCAGTAGGCACTGTGTAGAATGTGTCACGGTCAGTGTCTCCTTCCACCTCAACAAACACTCTTTTTGGTATTTGACCTCCCTTCATCAGTCGATGGTGCAACCTATAATATGTAGTAATCCTTCTCTTACTATCAATATTAAACAAGATAACCTGTGACGATAAGTTTGATAATGTGCAATATTTAGAGTAAACCCTTGTTATAAAACAGCTTTGTTAACAAAGTAAAGATTTTCCCTAAAGTAATAAAAAAACAGGGTAGTCTCATCATATCAAAAAATGCAGTTATTTCTTAGTCTGCAATAATTCCATCTTTAGGTGCTTTCCTAACGAAGGTGGCCTTTTCTGAGAGTAATTCATGAGATAAAAAATTTAGCAATTGAATTAAAACCAAAATATTCTTATGTTTACCTCGGAGGTGCAAGGTACTCCTCAATTGTTTCCAGTTTGAACAATTGTTTACACCTAATTGGTGCTAGATCTGGTCGACCTGTTTTGTTCAGAGCTGTTGCAAATTTCTTCAAGTATATGTGTCTGAAAAAATAACCTTATAAGTCATACAATCTATGTGCTAGGATTCTGCATCACTGTTCATGAATAAAAAAATATATATATGTACTGTAGTACACTGAAAAGCTTATTGTAAGTGAAAATAAATTCTAACATTTTGTTACAAATTCTAACTTTTCAATTATATAAAATACTGACCTTTCAACTATATGGAGGTTTCTTATGTCTTTTCCATTTAAAATCAAACCATCGATTAAATGCAGTGTGTTTAATTTTCGCTGGGCCTTGTGCTCACCACGGTGTTCAGTGACTATCTCAGCATACACTAATGTGTCAGGAGGGAGTTCCAGTTTGGTGTCCAAACGCATCCATGAACTAACACCTCTACCTTCCCATCGAAAAACATTACGTCCTCCTAAACCTGTACAGTAAGATTATTTTCATTAGTTAACATACTGTATAAGTTTTTAGGTATTGTTAATTATTGTCAGGTTATCAGATAATTTACAGATGCAATGATTAAATCTCTCAGTAGCTGCAACAACAGAGATTTTGTGATGAGTCTGTATTTGATTTACTGTAAAGAAATCACTGTTGGCAACCTTTTCTAAGAACAAAATCTTTGTACAGATGAGGGACACCTGTATAGTAGTGTGTGCAAAGCTCTGCAGCCCAGTCATGTCATTTGCTTGTTTATTAATGTTTTATTAAAGGAAATAAAAAAATATATAATAAAATAAATTATGTTAATTGAATACATAATAGAAGGCTAAAGAAAATTAAAAGGAAAAGTAATACTGTAGGTGTACTGAGAAGCTGACCATCTTCACACCAAACTAACAACTCACACAGCTGATAATGCCTCCACCAACAAGGCAGATGGTTTGACAAGTTACAGTACTGTTCAGTGTAATGTACAGTATATCATATTGAGATTTATAGATGTTTAACTTAGTAATGCAGATTTGAAGTGGGATTTCCTTACAATAATCATCCTCAATATTCAGAAGAAACCTTATATGATTTAATATAAAAAATTTTCAGGCCAATCTATAATCAACAGGAAAAAGCTAAAAATAAAAAAAATTAAAATAAATAAATAAATAAATAAATAAAAAAAACATTGAAACAATACTGTACTCCTACATCTATAATAACTATATACTGAGTACATATTTTAAGAATAAAATAAACCCAATGCTCTACTCCTGACAAATTTTTGCATCATCCTAAATTTCAGTTTTATTTGCATGGTGCAAACACGGTGGCAGTCATAGATGTCTTGATCATGATAACACTGATTCAAGCATCAGGGCAGGTGTGCTCTGTACTCTTTGCTTAATATTGACTTTATTTTGCTTGTACGATGCCCTCAAACAAACAACATAGTGATAGAACTATGATGTCAGTGCTAAAAGAAATTGTAATGTGCTCAGTGTAAAAAAAAATGATGAGGGAAATTGGGTGAAAACTATGAGGAAATGAAAATTCTACACCGCTGTCATTTCAACATGGGCTAGCTTCAAATGTTTAAAGAGCAGTGTCTTAAAGCCATTGGAGAATAAACGTCAGAATATAAACAGCTGCAAAGCCACCAGCTGGTCAGCCAACGTCTCAGTTCAGCCAGAAAACATTCTGCTCACCCTCTCTTGTGCGATTCCGGCAATACCCACATTTTCTCTTGAATCACTACACCTTCATTGTACAGTATATAATGAGCATATGGAATTTAAGAATAGAATAATTATTCTTTTTATTAGTTACATGAGAGTAAACGAGGAGAAATTGGACAATGAGGCAACTGGATCAGTGACCGTGTGGTGGCGTGAGTGCTAAGTTTTAGGAGTAACTTATATGGTGATTGAAGGAGACTGATGAAACATTGAAATTTATTTGTATACCTAATAATATCGTAAGTATTTGAGAATAATAAGCGATAAAATAAGTAAGCAAACTGGTAGAAAAAACAATTACCATATTTTCACTATTTGTAATGTTTGTTTTTTTCTATTTGGGGTTTTCACTTGTAAATCAAAGCATGGGACATTATAAGTTTTCTTTTTACAGCAAAATTTTGTTAACCAAGTCTTCATAAACTGGGCTTTGCCCGTATATAATTGGAGATGTGTTCTTATGAAAAGAGTGACGGTCAAAATTACAGTGCTTAACAAAAAAAGTTAAATATGAAAATACAGGTACACCATTTAAACACATATTAAATGGAAAACTGAATATTTCATAATACAGTACAGTACAGTAGGCTCTCGCCAATAACGACTTCCACAATAACGTTTTCGACAATCACGGTAAGTTACAATAGATACCCATTTTCGATAATAACGTCTGGATTCTCTTGAATAACGGAGATTTCGTGGGAAGCGTCCAAGCGCATCAAAGATAGCGTTTGTTTGCTGCCATGTTGATGACGTAGTTGTCCACTCCGCCTCACTCTCACTCTCTCACACGCTCTGTGGAATACAGCACTGCGCCCACGTGTGAGATTTTCGCCTCTATAACCAGTGGTTGCTGGGGTCGGTGATCAATAATGGCTTCCGCATTTTTGCCTGTGGGGGCTAGGGGAGGTGGTGGAGGGAGTGATTTGCTACCTGAACGCCCGGGAACTTTTAAAGTGAATGAGAAAAAAGACCCTAAAGCTAAGAGACAAAGCCACAAGAAGCGTGCCTACTCGGTCAAGGATAAAGAACAGTTTGTTGAACTCATCGAAAGTGGTGCACGTAACATTGATATTGTGAGGAAATTGAACTGACCTGAGTCTAGAGTGCGAAAAATTAAGATGAACTTAGAGGAGATCAAGAAGAGTATTGCGCTGGCTCAGAAATATTTCGGTAGTGATGGAAATGCGAGGCGAGCTATGAATGATAAAAGTGATAGAAACAGGTTGTTTGTGATAACAGAGCATTTTCTTGTGAAATGGTTAGCTTGTAGAATGAAAGACAGTGCAAGTGTTAGCGGCCCTCAGATACGGAACAATCATCACACCAAGCACCTCAAAAACTCCCCCAAGCTAAGTGTTATATTACTCAAACTCTTTATTTTGATGATTGAATAACAATT